TTATATCTCTATATTTTTGTCTATGTATGTCTCTGTCTCCTTTTCTCTAACTGAATCTGTCTCGAAGACTCTTGTGATGCTCTGTCTCTTGGTATCTCTGGTTTTTGTCTCTGTATATATCTATTAATCTCTGTCCTTCTATGTCCCTCTTTTTCTGCTCCTAACTTTGTGTTTCTTTCTACGTCCTTCTTTCTGACTCTGCTTGTCTCCTGTCTTTCTCCATCGCTCCCTGTCTCTGTATCACTGTTTCTCTCTCTCTATGTCTCTATTTGCCTATGTGATTCTATAGCTCTGTCTCTGTCTCTATCTTATTCTGTCTCAGTATCTCTATCTGTCATCTGTCTCAGTCTTTGACTATGTTTCTGTATTTCACTGTTTATTTTTCCCTCTGACTTTATCTCTGACTCTCTTGTGTGGCTCTCTTTCTATATGTGTCTTTGTCTATATGACTGTCTCTCTCCTATATTTAGTTATATTATGAATTATATCCCTTTTGGGTTTTCCTCTCCATATATATTAAGGATAATTGGGCCAGAGTGGTGCTTGCCATGCAAACAGCTGACCCAGGTTCAATTCCTGGCAGTAATGACGGTCCCCAAGCCCCACTAGGAGTGGTTCCTGAGCGCAGTCAGGAGTAATCCCTGAGCAATACCAGGCATACCCCTCATAAAAAACAAGAGTTACTTACAGTTCCACCAATGATAGTTTCATGCATACATATATTGTTACAATACCACATTCATCACCAGAGTGCCCGCTTCACTCTATCAATGTCCCATCCTTCTGTTCCTCTCCTTCTGATTAACTTCACACTGCAAGACACTCTCTAGTTCCACCCATATAGTGGGAAATTGCATAATTTTAGCTTTTTTCTTGTAGCTGAATAATATTCCACTGTGGCTATCTAACACAATTTATCCAGTCACCTGTTCTTTGGCATGTGTGTGTTTTCCAGATCAAGGCTATTGTGTATAGTGCTGCAATGAACATATATATATATGGGCTTTTCTTAAAATACAGTGTTTTCAATGGAGTACTATGTAGCTGTTAGAAAAGATGAAGTCATGAAATTTACATACAAGTGGTACAATATGGAAAGTATCATGCTAAGCGAAATGAGTCAGAAAGAGAGGGATAGACATAGAAAGATTGCATTCATCTGGGGGATATAAAGTAACAAAGTATGAGATTAATACCCAAGAATAGCTGAGATCAGCACCAGGAGGATTACTCCATAACTTAGAGGCCAGCCGGATATCCTAGAGGAAAGGGCAGTTCAGATAGAGAAGGGAGCACCAAATAAAGGATGTTTGGAGGATCCTCCCAGGAGGGGAGATGCATGTCGAAAGTAGACTATGGACTGAACATGTTTGCCACTCAATGCCTCTTTTGCAGACCACAACACCCAAACGGAGAGAGAGAACACAGGGGATTGCCCTGCCACAGAGGCAGGGGGGCATGGGGGGATGGGGCTGGGAGGGATATTATCCATGGTGGTGAAAAACGGGCACTGGTGGAGGGATGGGTATCTGATCATTGTATAATTGAAACCCAAGCACAAAAAATTGTAAATCTACAACTGTAAAAAAAAAATTAAAAAAAAATACAGTGTTTTGCCCCTTGGAGTAAATGCCAGCAAGTAGAATTGCTAACCTACATGATGCAAACTTAATTCTCAGTTTTTTGGCAAATATTCCTATTGTTATCCAATCAGTTTGAACCAGCCAACATTCTCCACCAACAGTCAAGAAGGGTTCATTCCCCCCTTATCCATGTCAACATTGATTGATTTTGCCAGTCTTGTTTGTGTGAAGTGATATATCAGTATTGTTTTTTTGGCATTTCCCTAATGGTAGTGATGCAGAGCTTTTTTTTACTTATCTATTGGCCATCTATATTTCATACAGGAAGTTATCTGTTATATAGGAAGGGTCCATATGTCATAGATAAAATGTTCATCTCCCCATTTTTGATGAGATTGTTTGTTTTTTTTGTCACGAGGTTTTATATATATATATATATATATATATAATCTATATATCTCATATAGTAACCATTTATCAGATGGGTAAATGTTTTCTTTCAGTTTGTCGTTTTATTATAGTCAATGTTCCCTTTGCTCTATATAAAGTACTTAGTTTGATATAGTCCCACTATTTATTTGTTTATTTGTTTTGATTCTGTTTGGCCAGTGGCATTGAGCCACAAAATGCATTTCATGAGGTGGCCTGCTTGTGTTTTCCTCCATATATTTTAAACATTGAGTTCTGTTATTGAGGTCCTGAATCTATTTTGAATTGACTTCTGTGCATGGTGTGATACAGAGGTCTAAAATCATTTTTTACAAGTGACTTCCCAGTTTTCCCAGCACCATTTGTTGGAGAGGTTTCCTTGCTCCACTTCATACACTTTGTCCCTTTGTCAAAGAATCACTGTCCATATACCTGAGGATATATGTATGTGCCTTTAAATTTGGGGTCGGAAGAGGTAGGGGTCACACCTGGTTATGCTCGGGGTTTACTTCTGGTCCTGCACTCAGGAATCACTCCTCGTGGGGTGGGGGAACGATATAGGATGGTAAAAATCAAACCCAGGTCTGCGGAGCACAAGGCACACACCATCACCAGCTGTACTATAGTTCTGGCCCCTGGACTCTCAATTCTGTTTCACTGGTCTGAGAGCCTGTCATACTAGTTACCACAGTATGTGTCTCAATTGCTACAGCTTTATATTATAGTTTCATATTGGGTAAAGCTTCCCACCTTCGTTTACTTAGGATTGTTTTGGCTATTTGAGGATCCTATTATTTCATATAAATGTCAATAGCATTTGTTCTATGTCTCTAAAAGTAAGTAAAGTAAAGTAAAGGCCCTCCCGTTGACCATCGATTTGCTCGAGCGGGCCCAGTAACGTCTCCATTGGAGACTTTGTTGTTACTGTGTCTGGCATATCGAATACGTCACCGGGAGCTTGCCAGGCCCTGCCCTGCGGGCGAGATACTCTCGGTAGCTTGCTGGGCTCTCCGAGAGGGGCGGAGGAATCGAACTTGGGTTGGCCATGTTGGCTGCGTGCAAGGCAAACGCCTTACCGCTGTGCTATAGGGACTGCCTTGAATCTTCTTTGGTCATTATGATAATACTACACTCTTTAATCCATAAACGAGGCAGGTATTTCCATTTTTTGTGTCTACTTTCTGTCACTGTCACTGTCCTCCCATTGTTCATCAATTTGCTCGAGCGGGCCCAGTAACATTGTGAGGCTTGTTACTGTGTTTGGCATATCGAATACGTCACGGGTAGCTTGCCAGGCTTTGCCCTGAGGGCGAGATACTCTCAGTAGCTTGCCAGGCTCTCCAAGAGGGGCGGAGGAATTGAACTCGGGTGAGCCGTGGTGGCTGCGTGAAAGGCGACCGCCCTACCCGCTGTGCTATCGCTCCAGCCCTGTGTCTACTTTATTTTTTTAATTTTTAAATTTTTTTAATTAGTGAAACACCATGAGATACAGTTGTAGATTTACAAACTTTTGTGGTTGGGTTTCAGTTACACAATGATCGAGTACCCATCCCTCCACCAGTTCCCATTCTCCACCACCAATGATCCCAGTAGCTCTCCCCCCCCCACCCTATCCACCCCCACTCCACCCCGCCTCTGTGGCAGGGCATTCCCTTTTGCTCTCTCTTTCCTTTGGGGTGTTGTGGTTTGCAATAGAGGTATTGAGTGGCCATCGTGTTCGGTCTATAGACTACTTAGAGAAGGGAACACCAAGTCTACTTTATTTTTATAGTAGTTTTATTTTATATGCTTTAAAGCTGATTTTCAAATACTTGACTTTTTGCAGATAACACAGATAATTAGAAAACCATAAGAATTCTATCCAAAAAATTCTAGGAATAATAAACTTGTACAGTGAAGTGGAAAGTTTACAAAATCACTACGGATAAATAATCACATTTCTGTATGAAAACAATGAAGTAGAAAAGGGAGAAATAAAAAAGTTACATTAACAATCATGTTCTTCTCTTTTGTATATCTATGTCAATCTACGTCTCCCTCAATCCATCTATGACCTTCTCTCTGTGTGTTCTCTGAGTATCTTAGTCTCTTCTCTGTCTCTTTCCCTATGTGTCTGTCTTTCTTTTTTTCTGTCTCCCCTTTTTTCACTTTATGTCTCTCTGTGTCCTTCTGTCTCTGTGTCCTTCTGTCTCTGTGTCCTTCAGTCTCCTTTGTTTATCTCTTTCCTTGTGCTATTTCCTTCCTTACTTCCCTTTCTTTCTTTCTTTCATTTTTCTTTTTTCTTTCCTTCTTTGTCCCCTATCTTTCTCTTTCTCTCTCTTTCTCTATGAGATTCTGTCTCTGCTTTTTTCTCTGTCTCTCTTTCTTTTTGTGCATCTTTCTGCATCTCTCTGCCTCTATCTCTGCATCTGTCTTTTCTATCTTGCTCTCCCCAATGCTTCTTTCTTCCAACAGTTTAATAGGGAAAAAATGTAGACATTTTTTTAAAAATTCCCCACTATCATGAATATAAACTGAGGTTTTCAACTCTGGCATAAGCTTAATAAACAAAGAGAAATAAGAAATACAATAGTGTGTTAACATTTTTTTCACTTTTTCGATACTAACAGTGCAAATCCAAATTTGGTCTAAATATACAGACTCTCAAGCAGCAGTATACAGCCCTTCTTTATCCTCCATACTAACAGATGTAAAAGTTTAAGGCTCAAACAGTAGCAAATGTATAGGCTTCAAAAACCATGTAAGCAGGAAATTCACTAGTTTCCACAGAGATACATCTGGAACACTGACATTATTTACATACAATAACATGAAGTGAATTTTTAAGTAAGACTTTAGTGAAACAATCCTGAAAGAAATACCAACAGAAAAAACAGGTTATCAGCTTATGGAATCAACCAATTTGTTTCAGTCATTTTGAGTCCATGTTTTGAAATCTAGTTTTCTGTCCCAAAGAGCTTCTTATGTCCTTTATCTTATGTCCTTCTTATGTCCTTTATCCATTTATGAAGTAAAATTGAAGTGTTTTATTAGTCACAACTACTATATCAATTGCCAAGGACTTCAACAGTGTCAGAGAAATCTGGGAAGTGTTCATGCATAAGGCTATTGCCTTAGTGGATTAACACTTTCCCCATACAATAGACATCAACCCTTAGTGAAGCGTTGTAAAAAATAATCAGGTTGAATACATGGGTTAAGGAGACAAATACAGCGTATGCCTTTAGAGCTACCAACTCAGTAATTCTCTCAGTTATTAAATCTTGCAGAGAAGCATTTTTTTCTTTCTCAAATTCCGGTGATGACAATATTCCTCACTCCAGATCAGGTGCGTCTTCATCATCACTTTCTTCCATATCATCATCTGTTTCATATACGTCTGGTAAATCCATATCTTCCTCACCAGCCAGGCTATTCATCATTTCCGAGAAACGCTCAAAACTAGGCAGGTCTTCATCCGAATCCTCTTCCCAATCTTTCCAATTACTGAAGTCCAAACTAAGCCAGTTAAGCTTGGCCCTTTCTTTCGCTAACCTCGGCCAGGGCAGGCCAGATTCTCTTTTCCGCAAATAACAGAAAATTGACCTGTCGGTTCTTCTATGCTTGGAACCATGTGGGTCAATATTGCGAAAAAGATCAATTTCATTGGCACGCTTACGATTATCATTTCCTCCAACACAGCTGAACATCAGTTTAGAGTTTTCAAAAAGTACAGTCACATCTTTACTATCCTCAACGCAAAACTCAATGAAGACAAAGTCTCGTCGATCATACCATTTCGCAGAAGCTGGCTGCACGGTGAACGTGGCGGGGATGCGGTGGGCGTGCCTCTCCAGCGGCAACTGCAGAGGAGTTGGCTCCCGCCCCTCTTGGGTGCTCATAGTGGAGTTTTCTCCGGGTCTTTGCCGGCTTTTCTCTGGCTACAGCTGCCGCTGCCGGCTGTGGGTGGCGGTGACTGCGCGCTTTGACAGCTACCAGCTGTGGCTGCGACTGATCCCTCTGACAGCTGCTGCGGGATATGGCGGCTTCGGACTGTGACGGTGGCTGCGGGCTCGACCTGGGTCCCCACAATGCACTGCGCAATGTCAGTGGCTCCTCCTTCTGCCAGGGACCGGACGAAAGAGTCTCCCATCGGCTCTTTCATTCATTTCTCCTTTTTACATTGAATGCCTGTGAGTTACAAAGTTACAAGGTTATTCATGACTGAGTTCCAGGCATATGATGTTCCAGCACCTTTATCACCTACTCTTCACCAATATCCCCAGGTTCCCTCCCACCCCAAAACCACAATGCAGAAAAACCTTTGCACTCCTATATTCATTGCAGAACTATTCACAATAGCCAAAACTGGGAAAGAACCCAAGTACTGAAAAACAGTTGATTGGATAAAGAAACTACCCCAATGTCTCTGATTTTCTCCATCTCTATACGTCTCTCTTTATCTCTGTATCTGTCTCTCTTCATCCATGTCTCTGTCTCTCTGTCCTATTTATCTCTTCATCTGACTCTGTTTAAGGTCTGTTGTTTGGTTGTTTGGTTTTGGTTTGGGGGCCACACCCAGCAGTACTCAGGTCTTATTCTTGGCTATGCACTCAGGGGTCACTCCTGGCGGGCTTGGAGGACTATATCGGGTGCCAGCGAGCCAAATCTGATTGGCCAGGTGCAAGGCAAACACTTAACTCACTGGGTCCCTGACTCTGCCTCTGTTACTCTATGTTTCTGTCTCTGTCTCTCTGTGTCTCCGTCTCCATGTGTATTGCTCTCTCTGACTACTTTCTCTTAGTGTTTCTTTGTCTGTTACTCTTTCTCTCTTATTCTTGACTTGGTTTCCTTGAGTCTCTGTCTCTATCCCACTCTTTATTTGCTTGTCTAATGTCACTGTATCTATCTCTCTTTATGTCTCTCTCTCCCTGTGTCTCTCAGTATCTCTCGTGACTCTATTTCTATGAGTTTCTGTCATTCATTCCCCGTCTCTCTGTCATACTCTCTCTGTTTTTATCCCTCTCTCATTGTGCCTTTCTCTATGTCTCTGTCCTGTCTTCATATGTATCTCTCTTCTTTATCTCTCTTTCCATGTCTCTCTTCTTTATCTCTCTTTCCATGTCTCTGTGTATCATTGTTTTCTTTCTGTTTGCCTCTCTGTCTCCCTTGTCTCTGCCTCTGTCACTGAAAGTCTCTCTGGTACTGTTTCTTTGTGTCTCTGCTTCTCTCTGTCCTCTCTCTGTCTCTGTCTTTCCTGTGTCTCCATCTGATTTAGTCTCTGTAACTCCTCTCTCTTTCAACCTCTGACTCTACCCATCTCTCTCTGTTTTTGTCTCACCATTTCTCTCTGAGGCAGGCAGGTAGATAGGGAAAGGCCCCCAAAGCAATGGAATTCCTGGGAAGTAATAAAAACCAATAGCCCCGAGCCTGCAAAGAGCCCACCTGGTAAGTCTACAACTGTACCTTCATGGTGTTTCACTAATAAATTTTTTTTAAAAAGCCCACCTGGTGACACAGGAACTAAGGCCTGATAAGATTTTCACCTGGAGTTAGCACAACCTGGATTTCTCCTCCCCCACCTCCCCCCACCCCCCACCGCCCACACTGAGGGAAGCTCCAGCAGGAACAAAGGCCAGGAAAGGAATTTCAAAAAATACCACCAACTGTTCCCAACTCTACCCCCTTGACAACCACCCTAGCAACAGGCTCATACCTAGGTAGAAAGCCCCACGTGGGGCAGCTTGGGAGAAACCCTATAAAAGCCAACTTGAACAAAGAAAGCATGTGATATGCTCCCCAATTCCATGTGCTGCCTGTGTGTTGTGGCTGAGCACATGTGTCACCGGCATCTCCCCTCTTGAGATGTCTACATTCATACTTTCATATCTAATGCTGGAATATGTACCAGCGTTCTCTCCACCTTTCTCTCTTGAGCACATTACTCTCTCCCTCTCTTTCTCTTTCTGCCTCCCTCCCCTTCCTCAAAACTTCCAAATAAAATCTGTTTTTTTTTCCTTCACTGCCCACATCCTCCTGAAATTCTTTTCCTGTTAAAAAGAGGAAGGACCCAAAAGGCATGAGTAAGTTTTAGCACTGACTTTCCTTTCCTTTCATTTCACTCCAGCCTGAGTCCAGGGTTCACTGAGAATTCGAGAATTCGGGTGGCAGGGATTAACTGATGTGGATGTTAATGTGTCTTGACGGCCACCTAGTGGGGCTGGCGGAACTTCAGATCCGTGCCATGCATGCGCTCATCATGCCATGCATGTGCTCATCGCAGACTTTATTAGTCCTGGACTTTCCAGCCGGTCCTGGTTCCAGGGTGTCCGAGGCAGATTGGGAGAAAGTGTCCAGTCCTCTTCTCTGGAGGATGCCATGTACCTTCTTTATAAATTTAAGTCACCCAGGACATCACTGGCATCATCTCTGTGTCTCTTGGTCTCTCTGTGACTCTTTATCTTTCTGTTTCTGTCTCCCTTGCTCTTCTGTTTCTGTATACAGAAACATATTTTTCTCTCTATTTTTGCCTATATGCCTATCTCTATCACCTTGTCTAACTTTGTTTACCTTATGTTTCAGTCTTTCTGTCTTACTCTCGGTCTGTGTTTCCATCTCTTTGTCATGTTTTCTGTCTCTGTGTCTGTTTCTCGCTATCTCTGTCTCTCTACCTCTGTCTGTCCCTGTTTCTCTCTTTGTTTCATTTTTCTTTTTTTTTCTTTTGCTTTTGGGTCACACCTGGAGATGCACAGGGGTTATTCCTGGCTATGCACTCAGGAATTACCCCTGGCGGTGCTCAAGAGACCATTTGGGATGCTGGGAATCAAACCTGGGTCAGCTGCATGCAAGGCAAATGCCCTACCTGCTGTGCTATCGCTCCAGATCCTGTTTCATTTTCTAATTCTCTTTTTCTATCTCATTTTTGGTGAGGGGGCAGAGGATTAGTGGCTATTGTCAGTTCAACCAGCATTTTAACATAAAAGGTAAATAGAATGAGAACATCAGAATGGAAATTTTGAAAGTATTAGGTAACCATCTTTTGTCCAAATGCATTGTCAGGGAATAATGTGCTATTTCTTAATTCAAGAGCATCATAAAAGGAATAATAAATAATCCCAAACTTTATCTGTTTCTCTCTGTCCTTTTCCTGTCTCCCTTTAGATCTCTATGTTTCTCTGTCTCTGCCTTTCTCTGTAACACTATCTCCAAGTCTTTGTGTCTCTTATCTTTATTTCTCTGTGTCATTATAGTTCTCTCTGTCTCTGTCTCTCTCTCCTCTCCTATTCTTCTATGTCTCCTGTCTTTGTGCCTGCATTTTTCTCTGCCTCTATTTCTCTGTCTCTCCACCCTGTCTCTGTTTGCCTCTGTCTGTCTCCTAGTATCTCTATCTCCCACTCTATCTCTTTCTATCTCTTTTAGCTCAACTCTCAGTCTCTTGGAGTCTCTGTCTCTCAATATCTGTCTCTCTGCCTAACTCTGCCAGTCTTTGTGTCTCTCTGTAACTTTATCTCTCCTTCTGTATCTCTCATTTTTACATCTCTGTGTCTCTCTCTGAGACTACATCACTATATATCACTCTTTTCTGTCGTTGTATGTCTTTTCTCACTCTTTCTATTACTCTGTATTTGTTTCTCTTTCATTGCCTTTGTTCTCTGTGAGCCATCTCTCTTTATTCCTACTTTCTCTGTTCTTCCCTATGTCTTTTTGTCCTTCCTGTCTCTCTTTAGCTCTATATATCCCCGTCTCTCTATATTTTTGTGATTCTCTTTGCCTCTATCTCTATTTGTGACTATCTTTCTATCTCTCTCTGTTGTCTCTGACTCTCAAAATTCCTGTGCCTCTGTCTGTGAACCTCTCTGTCTCTATCATCTCTTTTTTCACTATCTGTTTTTCTTTCTAACTTTGAGAGTTACTGTGACTATACCATTCTGTCTCTGTCTGTCTGTTTATGTCTCTCTGTGGGTCTGTTGCTATCATTTCTCTTTCTCAGTCTTTCTGTGCATCTCTATCTCACTGCCTCTGCATCTGCATGTCTCTCTGTTTTTCTTGATTTCTCTCTGTGTGTCTAGCTTCTTTCTTTCTCTTTGTGATCTCTCTGTATCTGTTTCACTTTAGCTGTCTCTGTATTTCTCTATCTCTGTCTCTGTTTATTTGTCACTCTGTCACCCTAGGTCTCTGTCTTTATATCTCTCTCTGTAATTGTGTTTTTCTCTCAACCTATCTCTGTCACTGTTTCTCTGTGTCTGTGCTTCTTGTTATGTGTCATTCTTTCTCTCAATGATTCTTTCTCTGCTTCTGTGTCTCTTCTCTCTTTGTCTTTGTCTCATCTTTTTTGGTAACTTCATCTCTCTGTGACTGTCTCTTCCATCAATCTCTCTTTCATTCCCTGTCACTCTCTCTCATCTCTGTCTCTGTATGTCTCAGTCCACTCTGTTTATTTCTGTGTGTCTCTGTCTCTCTGTCTATATCTGACTCTTCATGTGTCTTTCTGTGTCTCTTTCTCTCTTTGTCTCTCTGTATCATTATCTCTGTCTTTGCCTTTCTCTTCTCTCTCTGCATGTCTGTATTTCTCTCTGTCTCTCTGTCTTTCTTTGTCTCTATGTGACTCTATCCTGTGTGTCTCTGTCTAGCTATCTGTCTCTATCTCTGTGCCTTTCTAACTCTGTCTTTCTAACTCTTCTAACTCTTGTCTCTGTCTCTTAGTCTCTGTGTATAACTCTGCATCTGTCTCTATCTCCTCTGTATGTGTATATCTCAAACTAAGTTTTCTTTTCCAGCCTCTCTCTATGCCTCTTAATCTCTGTCTTTGTCTCTGTCTCTTGACTCTGTGTGTCTCTGTCCTTTCTATCTCTATCTCTCTATCTCTCTTTCTCTCCTCCTTTTGTGTTTTTCTCTCTACGTTTGTCTCTGTTTCTCTC